GTGCGGCGGAAAATTCACAGTCATTACTTAACAGATTAAGAGCTTTCAGATAAGTACCGACGGTCTCATAAGAACGTTATTTGCGTGTCGATAAATAATGCCTAGCATAAATAACGCATCAAAATTAATGAATCAAAATGCAAGCATGTAACTTTCACTCTTCGACGCAGATCCTGTCCACCAATCCTTTTTAATTCAATTCCTCTTCCCTACTCAGACACAGTCCGATACCTTGGCTTCCTTTTGGACAAAAGACTGACTTGGAACCCACATACCAGACTTAAAAGACAAGAGCTTAACCGACGATTTGGTCAGCTATATAGACTACTAAACAGAACATCTCATCTCTCAACAGAAAACAAATTATTAATCTACAAGACCATACTGAAACCTATCTGGACCTACGGACTTGAACTGTGGGGGACAACTAAATCATCGAATATCAAACGCATCCAATCCTTCCAGTCCAAAGTCCTTCGAACAATAGTCAATGCTCCATATTATGTCACGAACAAGACCCTACACCATGACCTTAACATCCCATATGTCCATGACATCATCCCATCCAGATTCTCCAACTTTCACCAGAACCTCATTCATCATCCCAATCCTCTAGCGCAATCCCTATCCAGCTCCGAACATCCATACCATCCCCCTCGAAGGTTGAAACGGCAGTGGCCTCGAGATCTTTTGTAAATATGCCTTTGGAGTCCTGGCAATGGCCAGCTTCTCCACTCATGTCCTGAGCGTCTGTGGCTGTAGTGCCCTCTTTCAGTCTCCATTGGCTTCTAATACTAGTGATGCGGCTGGAAAAGTGGCGCTGGGATCTCCCGGAGTCTTGCTTCGCCTTCCACGTATGGGGGAAAAAGCCTGGCTCGGAGATTCTTGGGCGAATGTATATATATAGGTATGATTGTGTTTAGAAATTTTTATTTTATTTTATTTTTATTTAACTTCTTCACCAGTATTATTTATTTACTTATTATATTTATATTTATTTCTTTATTATTTGTATATATTGTATGAATGAGAACTTGTAGCCCTAATGCTTATAGCCCTCCAGCAGTGGCTGATTGTATTATTATTCAATAAACAGATAAAAAAAAAAAAAAAAAAAAAAAAAAAAGCATAAATAACATTTTTCAGTTTGATATAGAGATTTTTTAGTGTAGTGATGGCTCCTTCAAAAGTTGAACACTCACTAAAGTAGGTATAAACAGTTCGATAGACAAAATTGATCAATAATTCGCTTCTTAATATCAGTAAGTGTACCATCAGTGGCTAAAAAACTAATAAATGTCGCATAGCAATAACTCAGTCCTAGCCTGCGTTAGAAGACGAGGGGTCTACATCGAGAGGACCAGGCTTCAGAAACTTTTTCGTTTATAAATATTTTCGCTTCATAAATGGTGGTATAACCTAATAAGAAACTAATTTTCTTGATCAAGGCTTTATTAATTTAGATTAAGGTAAATTAAGGCATTGTGGTATAATCTTATAAGAAACTAACCTTCTTGATCAAGGCTTTATTAATTAAGTTTAAGGTAAATAAAGGCATTGTGGTATAATATTATAAGAAACTAACCTTCTTAAAAGGCTTTATCAAGCGAAAACATTACAGCAACATTGTTGGTAAAAAGGGTGTGAACCGTTACAATACTGTTTAGATTAATAGTAAAAATTTACATGTTTTCAAGATGTGTACAAGATTTGCGTTGTTTCTTATGGTTACAGAATTAGTTAAGATTCATGTACCATCAATCATAGTTTATTATTAACCATACTTGAATACTTGAATACATTCAGTGCTCGAACCAGGGTTAGTAACAGAAAATATTACAATTTTTATAAAAGAGTTATATACAATATTTTTAGTATGTATAACTTTTTACATATTTCATTTGTAATATTTTGCATAGTAATATTAGTTAACATTCATGTACCATCAATCACAGTTTATTATTAACCATTATCGGTCGTATAATATTATATTTCTGATTGTATTTAAAAATTGTCAGCCCTGATGATGACCCACATGTTTGGGATAAAACGTCAGCACTAATAAAAACTTTATAATGACTGCGTCCTGCATATTTAACACCCATGGTATGTAGAACAGTCGACTAACTTCCTTCAATATATAGCATTTCCAAGTCAATTTCAACCTTTTCCAAGTCAAATTCAACCTTTTCCAAATCAAATTAAACTTTTTCCAAGTCAAATTCAACCTTTTCCATTTCAAATTAAACCTTTTCCATTTCAAATTCAATCTTTTTTTATTTATTTAATTATCTTTAATTTTTCGATGTGTAGGTCTGTTATCGTATGAGTAGTTTTTGAAAATAACCTCCTTTTTAAGATTACGTGTCTGGGTTTCGAATTATTTAAGTTTTTTTGACTTATTCGATAAAACGGTGTATTTTTATGTTTCCCGATCAGTAAATTTTGAAAATGACATCGATTTTATGTTTACGCCACTGTGTTTTGATTTATTTAAGTTTTTAGATTTATCCAATATAAAGGTCTACTTTTATGTTTCCGGAGCCGTAGATTTTGAAAACGACCTATAGTTTAAGATTAGGCCACCGCGTTTCGACTTATTTGAGTTTTTCGGATATTTTTCATATGAGGGTGTGTTTTTATGTTTCCGGAGCTGTAGATTTTGAAAATGACCTCTATTTTAAGATTACGCCACTGCGTTTCGACTTATTTAAGTTTTTTTTGATTTATTCGATGTAAGGGTGTATTTTTATGTTTCCAGAGCTGTAGATTTTGAAAATGACCTCCATTTTATGATTACGCCGCTGCGTCTTGAATTATTTAAGTTTTTCTAATTTATCCAATATTAAGGTCTACTTTTATGTTTCTTGAGCCGTAGATTTTGAAAATGACCTCCATTTCATGATTACGCCATTGCATTTTGACTTACTTAAGTTTTTCGAATTTATCCAATTTAAAGGTCTACTTTTATGTTTCTTGAGCCGTAGATTTTGAAAATAACCTCCATTTCATGTTTAAGCCATTGCATTTTGACTTATTTATGTTTTTCGAATTTATCTAATTTAAAGGTCTACTTTTATGTTTTCGGAACCGTAGATTCTGAAAATGACCTCTATTTTATGATTACGCCACTGCGTTTCAACTTATTTAGGTTTTTAGAATTTTACAAGTATAAAGGTCTAATTTTATGTTTCTGGAGCAGTAGATTTCCCCCATTTTGTAAATGTCCCAATTTCAAGTTTATGCCACTGTGTTTTGGATTATAAAAGTTTTTTTTTTTACTTTTTCGGTATAAGGATCTACTTATATGTTATCCGAGACATATTGAAATTTTTCTAATCTTTAATATTTAAATTTATCTAATATTTAAGCTCAATTTTATGATTAAGCCGCTGCATCTCGATTAATTAGGCTTCATTTTGGATTTTTTTCAATACAAAGTTTCATCAATATGTTTTCGAGTATGAATAAATATATAAATAAACAAATATTATGAAGCTAAAGTTAAATTAACCACAGAATACAAACTAAAAAGCCGAAAAGCAAGTGGTAATAAATTTAACCTTCCGTATTCAGATTTGTCAGCTAATTGTTCGAAATCTTATAATTTTGTGACAGGAGACCACAACATTAAAAAAGATAACTAAAATTAAATTAAAAATGAGTCAATACATAATTTATTTATTTTGATTAGACATTTTTATTTATTTATTGAAAAATAAATTAATCCTTCGTACTTTGTTTTTTATTCGAAGGAAAAATCAAAAACACTTAAAAAAACCGAAACACAGTGGCCTAATCTTAGAATGTAAGTTGTTTTAAAAACTAAGGCTCGGCATCATAAAAGTAGACCTTAAATTGGATAAATTCGGAAAACTTGAATAAGCCGAAACACAGTGGCGTAATCTTAAAATGGTGGTCATTTTCAAAATCTACTACTCCGGAAACATAAGAATACACTCTTTTATGATAAAAATTCGAAACACTTAAAGAAATCGAAATGCGGTGGCCTAATCTTAAAATGGAGGTCGTTTTCAAAATCTAAGGCTCCGGAAACATATGAATACATCCTCATATGAAAAAAATCCGAAAAACTCTAAGAAATCGAAACGCGGTGGCCTAATCTTAAAATGGAGGTCGTTTTCAAAATGTACGGCTCCGGAAACATAAGAATACACCCTCATATGAAAAAAATACGAAAAACTCAAATAAGCCGAAACGCGGTGGCCTAATCTTAAAATGGAGGTCGTTTTCAAAATGTACGGCTCCGGAAACATAAGAATACACCCTCATATGAAAAAAATACGAAAAACTCAAATAAGCCGAAACGCGGTGGCCTAATCTTAAAATGGAGGTTGTTTTCACAATCTAAGTCTCCGGAAACATAAAAGTAGACCTTTATATTGGATAAATTCTAAAAACTTATATAAGACAAAACACAGTGGTGTAAACATAAAATGGATGTCACTTTCAAAATTTACTGATCGGGAAACATAAAAATACCCCCTTATATCGAATAAGTCAAAAAAACTTAAATGATTCGAAACGCATTCACGTAATCTTAAAAAGGAGGTTATTTTCAAAACTAGGTACAGGACAGCATAGTGTAGTCTAGACCTCAGTTCAGAGCGTATGATAAAAGTTCAGTCAGTTTATAGTTAGTGATTTTCGCAGTTTTTAGAAGGAGTTCGGTCATAATTTTTGGTTAGAACCAACTATTAATCGTGTTATATCCACAGACAGGAAAGATTCTTCAATACAACGCCGTTTCACGTCAGAAGAAGAAAGGAAAAATCATAATTTTTGTCGGCTTAAGGTATTTATTGCAGGCATTCTGGATAAGAATATAGGTGGGGAGCGCATGCGCATAAATAGGACTAGGTACTAGATATCTCAGTGTTTCCAGTGACGAGGTTGGGATAACGTCAATTTTTTTACCACGTTACTTACGTAATTTTTTTTTTTTTTTTTCTCTTTCTTCTTTTCTCTCGCTTATCAAGATGGTTTTATGCCCAATCTGTAAACAGACCATAGCAAGAGAAGAAAAAAAAACAATGGCATGCACTGTCCCAACATGTCAAGCCATTTTCCATGGAAAATGTCTAAACGCAGACGAGAGTGAGTTTGAAGCACTGAGGGCATTACGAAAAAATTGGGAATGCCCGAAATGTGAAAAGGCACGGAAAAATATCCAACCGACAGACAAGTGTCTCAGCCCGCCAAGATCGGCGCCACAACAACAAACTGTCGACAGCACGTCACAACTGTTACTTGCTGCCATTAAAAATTTAACAGAAGAGGTCAAGGGATTAAAATTCTCCCTCGATGCCAATGCTAACGAGGTGAAAGAATTAAAAATATCTCTCGAAAAGCAAGCATCCATAACTTTTGAGAATGCGGCGAAATTAGACTCTATAGAGTCACTACTGGAGGCTCAAAATTCCAAGATTGACGGACTGGTCTTGGAAAACACGACTCTCAAGTCTCGGGTCTCGGAGCTCGAAATCAGGCTCAATAAAAGTGAGCAACTGCACCTTTCCAGGTCAATAGAAATAAGAGGAGTCCCAGTGAGATCTGGAGAGACCCCGATGGGCCTGGTTATGAGCGTGGGGGCGGGCCTGGGCCTTAGTCTAAAGGTGGAGGACATTGACTATGCAGAACGGATAAGAAACAGGCAAGACGATACACCTGGGCCGCTTGTGGTAAGGTTCGTCCGGCAGTCGCTTAGGGATGAGTTGATCCAGAGGCGAAAAGTCATTAGGGATTTTTCAACACGTCACCTCGGATGGCAAGAAAATGACGCCCACAAGATCTACCTGAGCGAAGCTATGTCCGTAACCAACAGACACCTGTACTGGCTGGCCCGGCAAAAGAGGTCTGCAGGAAAAATCAGGTACAGTTGGTTTAGCGCAGGCAAGGTGAAATGTCGACGAGACGATGGACAGCAGGTCGTCGTCATCAACTCACCATCAGATTTAGAAACGTTTGCTTGACATGCATATACATGTTACAACACTTTGAACAATTTTGTTTTTACTTTTTTATATCCCCAGTTTTATGTTTTTGTTGCGTTTGTTTTAATAATAGACTATGATAATAATTTCATTTTTGTTTATGAGAATATTTTAGGTCTGATCTGTCCAGAAACTCTAATTTGTGTATTTTTTTTCTTTTGCACAATAGGAATATGCTTTTCGTTAACTAAATTTTATATTTTTTGTTTACCATCCTTATTAATATCTAGGAGATCTTGCACACAATTGGCTCTAGCTGCTGTAGAAATATTCCTATCCTTAACTCCTTCTGTCCGTTTACCAAGCCACCCCTCCTTCTTCCATGACTAATATCCTTCTAACCTGCCACGTCAACGCTCAGTCACTCTTAGCCCATTTTGATGAATTTTACGACTTTTTTCTCCATAACTTCTACCATTTAATTGCCGTATCCGAAACCTGGTTGAAACCCACAATCCCGTCCTCCCAGATCCTTCTACCTAACTATACTCTCCTTCGTCATGACAGAGTAGATCGCACGGGTGGTGGAGTAGGTCTCTTTGTCCATGACAGTCTCAAATCCAAAATTCTTCACTGCTCTTCCATAACCGATTCTCCGCACGTTGAATACCTTTTCGCCGAAATCCTCACCACCTCATCTGCCATTCTGTTTGCTGTCATATATCGCCCTCCTAGAATTCCTTTCGATGAATCACTTGAGACTTTATTGTACAACTTAATCCCTTCCTACTCAAACATCATCCTCTCCGGTGACTTTAACACCAATTTACTGGCACCATCCTCTGATTATTCCTACCTAACAAACCTCTTTAATTCTCTCAGCCTTTACATAGTACCCTACAATCCAACCCATCATACTCAGTATTCAGAGTCCTGGCTCGATCTAATTATCCTGGATTCCTCAGACAAACTCCTTGCCGCATCTCAGCACCCGGTTCCGTTTCTATCTTCCCACGATCTTGTCCAGATCTCTTACAATGTCCCTGTTCCATCCTTTTCTCCCCGAACAATATCCTTCCGAAACCTAGATTATCTCACTCACGAAACATTGTCAGAAGGTCTTGACGATATCCAGTGGGATCCCATCTACTCCTCAAAATCCATAGACACCATGGTAGAAATCCTAACCACTCAACTTCACTCTATCCTCGACCGACATGCTCCTCTTATCACAAAAACCATCCGATATCCTCCAGCTCCTTGGCTTACCCCTGCTTTGAGGGAGTGTATGAGAGAAAGAGATGCTGCAAGGCGACGGTTTAAACGAACTCGACTTCCTGATGATTTTCTCTCCTACAAACAGCTTCGAAATAGCACTCAATCAGCAGTACGCCGTGCTAAATCCCGTTACTACCATCATTCCCTATCCAACTCTCCCAATACCAAGGCTACGTGGGCTATTCTTAGAAAACTGACCATTGGTAATACACCCCAGTCTCAGTCCAATTCCGTTTCTGCTGATAACCTCAACGCTCACTTTGTCTCCTGTCCTCTTGCATCCACATCTCCCACGTCCAGTCTGGCTCCTATGTTCTCTTCCTTTAATCCTGATCACTTCTTTCTTTCCCATATTACACCAGATGAGCTCCTTAAATCCATTCAGAAGTCCCATACCAATGATTACGGTCCCGACAACATCCCAGTCAGACTGATTAAAGCCGCATTGCCATCCATTCTTCCGATCCTTTATCATATATACAATTATTCTCTTCAAAATGCTACCTTCCCTACATCCTGGAAAACCGCCCTAGTACGCCCATTGAAGAAGACTTCAAACCCATCAGTTCCTAATGATTTCCGACCGATTTCCCTCCTTTCAAACCTCTCAAAACCATTAGAGCGGTTAGTCCAATCCCAGCTATCCCATTTTTTAGAGGACAATAATCTCCTAAATCCCTACCAGTCTGGATTCAGGCCTGGTTATTCTACTCAGTCTGCCCTAATCAAAATTTCCCAAGACCTTCACACAGCCATAGATCAGCAGAAACTAACCATCCTTATTCTCCTAGACTTCTCCAAAGCTTTTGATTCAGTAGACCACAACATCCTCCTAACCAAACTTAAAAATATCTCTTTTTCTTCTAGTTCCCTTAATTGGTTCCAATCCTTCCTAACCGGTCGCTCCCAGTACGTTGTAATTCCTAATAACCCACCATCAGAATCTCTACCTCTGACCAGAGGCGTCCCACAAGGCTCTTCCTTATCCCCCACCCTTTTCTCCATCTATATAAATGACCTCCCATCCTCTATCCTGCACTGTCATTACCACCTGTATGCCGACGACATTCAAATTTACCTCTCCTTTAATCCGACAGATATCTCAGATGCCACTCAAAAACTTCAGGAAGATATTGACAGAATAAGTGCTTGGGCAAACCTCAATAGGCTCACTCTGAACGCCGAGAAGACAAAAGCCATCTTGATCGGATCCCCTTCACTCCTCAAATCCTCCCCAGTATCTCCCAATCTCTTCCTGAACAACTCACCTATCTTATTCTACACCACCGTTAAAAACCTAGGTGTTACTTTCGATCAATCCCTATCCTGGAAACCTCACATCTCCCAAATTTCCCGTCGCACTATCTCCACCCTAAAACAGTTCAATCGTCTACGATATCTCCTTCCATATAAGTCCCGTCAACTCCTAGTTTCCTCCCTTGTTTTCCCCCACTTCGACTACGGCTGTATGGTGTACGGTGGACTCCCGGGAGATTCCGAGGCCAAACTTAAACGCCTAATGAATTGCGCACTACGATTTGTTTTCGGAATCTCAAGGGATACGCATATTACCCAGTATTACACTGAGTTGAGGTGGCTCTACCCATCCTATCGCCGTCAGTACTTCCTAGCCACCTTTCTGTACCAAATTATTAGAACCCATCGACCCTCCTACATTTTTCACAGCTTACAATTCAAATATTCCATCCAATCCCGTCCCACCAGATCTCGTACTTCCGACCTCTATCCTCCTCCTCACCGAACTGCTGCGTTTGACAAATCCTTTGCAATACAAGCCGCCTCCCTCTGGAATTCCATCCCACCTGATATTCGACACGCTCAATCAGTTTCCTCGTTTAAACCACTCCTCTTTAAGCACCTACTCCTTTCTCAATCCGAATGATTGTGAAATATATCTCAGAGAAATATCTGAGCACCACCAGAGAGTACGTCAATTTATTAAGGTTATTTTAGTTTCTCATACATATGTACAATTTACTTGTTCTTTTTTTTCTCTTTTCTGTATTTTTATCGTAAGTCAACTTTCATTGTAAATATACAATTCAATTGTAGCCACACAGACATATAATCTGTATTCATATTTTGTTCTTAAGGGACAACAGTCCCAGAATAATAAAACATTTTTTTCATTTCATTTCATTTCATAATACTAGTCCCTAATAAATCCGAATAGGTACAATAAATCGATATCCGTAAGTGAAAATTCTACTTAGGAGAGCATAATAATAGACTTTCATATTAGAGGGGGGGAGGGGATGGCCATTATTTAAAAAAAATATATAAAATTTACAAAAAATTAAAACATTAATTTGAAATGAAAACGGTTGAATTTGAATTGGAAAAGGTTTAATTTGAAATGGAAATGGTTGAATTTGACTTGGAAAAGGTTGAATTTGATTTGGAAAAGGTTGAAATTGACTTGGAAATGCTATATATATATATATATATATATATATATATATATATATATATATGTATTAATGCCCAATATGTCTTTTATGATATATGATCAATCTAAATTAATAATCATTAATATACATATACTCTTACCTTGAGAGTATCGATAAACAGTCTTTCCTGTATTGTTTTGTCAAGATGGCGTACAAATAAGGGTTAGCACAAGAATTGATAGGATATATAAATACGAGCAGTATTTTTGACTGTGATATCGTGATTAATGGATACCCAGCTAACGCTGTAAAAGAAAAAAAAGCGACTGGTGCCCAACATAAAAAATTTGTTCCCACTAAAATTGTCATTTTTCGAACTATAGCTCCTTCACTTATTGAATGTCTTGTCTCATAACTCAAAGATAGATAAATTTGAGTATAGCAAATGCACATTAGAAGAAAGGCACATCCTGCTACAACAATCATTGTAATTATATATACTTGAGAGATGTAGTCGTTTGAATCCATTGGCAGACATAAACTGAAAAGAAATTAAAAATCAATTCATTAAATTAATTAATACTTGGAAAATGAATTTGATAAACTTTGGTTAACCTTGTCGTTGAATAGCTACTAACACCAATCAACGGTAATAAGGCCATTATAATTGAATAAACCCATCCACCGATCATAATATGTGATGTGATTTGTATATCAAGCATATTTAGGTACAGCGCGTGCCTGATTGCGAACCAACGTTCTATCGTCAATAGTGACAACGTAAAAATAGATAGCTGACTAGCAAATACTGTCAGAAATCCTGCCATCCTACAGCCATAACCTGAAATCAATTTAAAATTTATAATAATGTTTCGACATGGTTTTAAATTACTTCCGTCAAGCTTAAGCTAAAACGAAAGTCTAAATAATTTATAAAACATCGTTAACACTCAAACAAGTAATTTTGTTGGATAAATAGTCAAATATTGTATCTAATAATAATAACTGTACTTGTTTCAAATAAGTTTTACCTCTTTGCCAATCGTAAGCATAATTAAAATATGTTTCAGACGAAATAATGTCCATTATCGCTAACATCAAAAGATATGTTGCCATTATCAGGTCCGCGGATGCGAGGTTACACATCAAGAACCTTGGTACAGATTTCTCAGTTTTCGAGAGGCATAAAACAAGAAGGACAGCTACATTACCAACAATTCCTGCTGATATCACGAACCAAATTGAAACCCTCAACCATAACCAGCTCATCATATCTTCACAAGGATTCAAAGCATCAGGTTTAGGAGAGCAAGACACATATCTGAAATATCAACATAAACAGTCATAATAAAAGTCCTTACCTGCTAGAAAGTAAAAACGAACAGATAATAAGATAAATACAAAAGAACACATACATACCTATATACACTATTTACAATTAGGCGAGAGAACTCCGAGTCAGACTTGTTCCTCCAACCTCGGAGGGAAAAGCATGACTCTAGGAGATCCCTGCACTTCTCTCCCAAAAGCGTTACTGGGGCAAAAGCCAGTGGAGAGTGGTTATATTAAAGTGCTTAATTGAAACAGAAACTAAACTCTTTCTTTATAAATAATTAAGCATTTTGTTACCTAATTTAGATGTTTAAGTTTTAACAATATTTAATTAATTGTTTTGTATTTAATTGTAAATTAATTGAGTAACATTTTCTTTTCACATTCAAAATGATGAATTTTGATACTTTGTTTAAATATGCTTAGCTATTTAGAAAACAAATGCAGTATCCTAGAATATTGATATAATAATAATAATCTAAACATACTCTGACTCCTTGCTAATACTCCCACATAATTAAAAAAAAACGATTAAAATATGAATCGCATTTGTCATACGTTAGTCCCTTGGTTATATTATAGGTTAGTCCCTTGGGTAATATGTAGTTACAAATCACAAAAAAATATTTGATTTATATGATATTTACAACTGTATACAAAAAATACATCTAGTAAATTCGCACATGGATATAATGACATGAAACACTTGTTGAGAAACTACCCATTGGTAGCACTCTAATAATATGTCTATATTAAGAGATCACGTGGCCATCTTCTTTTCAGACACTTCGGAGGGTTATCAGGAATTGAATAGGAAGCAAGGTTAGAAACAAGAGGGTTAGGGTGGTTATGAAGTTTATTATGGAAGGACAGATATCTGGATTGGGCCAAATCTGATACATAAGGAACATTAAGGTCATTATCGATGATTTTATTTGTAACAAAGTAAGGAGCATTGAGGATTTTATGAAGGATTTTAGATTGTAAGGATTGGATACGATAGGAATTTGAAGGTTTGGTGGAGCTCAACTCCGTAAGTCCAAATAGGCCTTATTAGTCATGCAAATGAGTCTTTTGTAATTGATTGGAAGGTTAGAGCGTTTGTCTAGTAAGTGTTGAAGTAGTCGGAAACGTCGAGCTGTTTCATGTCGTTTCAGTCTGGTATGAGAATTCCATGTTAGACGTTTGTCCAGATGGAGTCCTTGGTAACGGATTTGTTCAACAGGAGTAAGTGAGGTGTTGTTAAGATGGACAGGAAGTCATTGGTTTACGACGAAGGGTGATGGTAATTTGATGGGATTTATTGGAATTTATTTTAATTCTCCAGTTCTGACACCATTCTTCAAGGTTTATGATGTGGGATTGAAGGGTTTGGTATGCAATAGATGGGCCATTATTAACTGATAGGATACATGTGTCATCAGCATATGTGGTGATGACAGTATTGGGATGGGTTGGGATGTCAGTTGTATAAACTGTGCAAAGGATAGGACCTAGGATACTACCTTGAAGAACACCTGCAGACTGGGAAAAGCGGGTTGTATAGACATTGTTGTGATTTACTTTAAAGTATCTATCAGTAAGTTAGGAACGAATAATGAGGAAGTATATAGATGGTAGGAATTTTCGGAGTTTGTACAACAGTCCCAGGTGCCAAACTCTATCAAACGCCTGTTCAAAGTCGAGAAAGATTCCCGTACAGTACATTCCACGTACCAATGGAGAGGACACTACGTCTACCACATGATGGCATTGCTGTATAGTGGAATGGGAGGAGCGGAATCCAAATTGGTGATCAGGGATTATGTGATTATAATTTAGGATGGTGTACAGGCGTTTTAAAATCACAAAAAAAAAAAAACCGATTTCATTTGTACCAATGGAAAAATATTCGTCCATTGTGTACCCCCTATCCACCATTTCTGGAATACCGGGAGGGGGGAGGTTGCTCTAGAGATACAACCAAACCTATTCTGACCAGAGTGGGTAGGTCGAGTTCCATTCCGTGGGTCCGCCACAAAATAAAAGTCATCCATTCCGAGGCCGAATTCGAACCGGCGCACACTGGTACGAGCGTAAGGTTTCTTAGACATCCCTCTGATTTACTCAAAAATTGCATTATATTGCTCAAATTTTGTATGTTTATGTTTTTGAGCATGTATTAAAAGCAAAATAATAAAATATTAATTTTTATTTTATCTTGGTAATATTTATTTCAGTTTAACAGCTATGTGAGTACATATGAAATATTAATTACCACTATAATTTAATTGAAACACTCCTGAAAGAGCAAAAAACCCATACTGAAAAATTAACTATGGAAAATAACAAATTGAAAACAAAAATATCCGAGCTGGAAAGCCGCCTGAATTCCACAGAACAGTTTCAACTGAAAAATACAATTGAAATTAGAGGAATTCCGGAGAAGGTCGGCGAAACCGTAACTGAAACGATTCTTAGCGCCGGAGCGAGTCTGGGCGTCAAGTTGAGTCCGTACGATGTCGATCACGCCGTGAGACTAAGACCCAAGCAATAAGGGACCCCAGACCCAATTATAGTAAGATTCGTCGATGAGAGGTGAGAGGTGAGAGGTGAGCTGGTGCGGCAACGAAGAGCGAAGAGAGATTTCTCTACACAAAATCTAGGCTGGGGAGAGAATGACTAGCACCGAGGCTACTAGAGTGAAGCCACGACGCCCACTAATAAACACCTTTATTGGTTAGCCAGGCAGAAGAGGGTGACTGCAAAAATAAGATACGTCTGGTTCAGTGGGGGTAAAATTCGTTGCAGACAATCAGATGAAGGCTCAGTAGTAATTATAGAAAAACCAAGTGATCTGGATGTTTTCAGCTGAACGTTGTATATAAGTTACCTTCAGCTAACAATTAATTTACTTTCTCTAGCTAGAAATATTTTTATTTTCATTTCCAGCTTTTTTTTTTTATAAATGTAGCTTTTTTTATTCTTGTATACATTTTTTCCCATCAGAAATATTTTTATTTTTATTTTAAACTTTTTTTATTCTTGCATAAATTATCTAGAACTTCATCTGATTTTTTGGTCAATCTTTATCTATTTATCCAAACAAAGGGGACATTTATATTTTCTTATGTTACAAATTAATTTTAACGGAATATTTATTTCGAAATTCCAGAAATTTTTTTTTTCGATTAGATATGCAGCTAATGCAATCGGAGTTCCATATGAAACTTTACGAGACGCTGTCAAGCGTTTTCGGGAAACTGGTTCTGACAATAGAAGGCCTAGTTCTGGACGGCCTAGGGTAACAGAACCACGGGATGACCGGTTTTTGACTTTGAGAATTTTACGAAACCGGCACCTTACCGTTGTTCAAGCGATTAATCAGCTTGAAGAAGTTCGAGGTGTGCATATTTCTGAACGTACCGCTCAGAGAAGATTAATTGAGTATGGATTAATGGCTTTTCATCCAGAAGAGAAGCAGAGTTGACCAGAACTCACAGAGTAACATGGCTGGCTTTTCCTCGAGAACGCAGCCATTGGACTACGGACGAATGGAGTGCTGTACTTTTTACAGATGAGTCAAGATTCGCTCTTCGATCGCCAGACGGGCGTGAAAGGGTGTGGAGAAGAAGAAACGAAAGATATGCAGCCTGTAATTTTTCCCAGAGCCAACCTTCCAACGTGGTTCCTTAATGGTGTGGGCTGGGATTTCAATGGAGGGCCGCACAGAATTGGTTGCTGTTCGTGGAGGGTCTTTGACGGCCATTCGCTATGTAGAGGAAATTTTGGAATCTCATGTGTTGCCTATCTTCAACGAAATCGGCGATCGTTCTATTCTAATGCACGATAATGCACGCCCACGTGTCGCCCGCATAGTCGTTCCTTCAATAGAACAATGTTGAGGTTTTAGCCTGGCCAGCACGTTCTATAGATTTGAATCAAATGGAGCATTTATGGGATAACCTCGGAAGACGAATAAGAGCGCGTGCAACACTTCCTGATACACTGCAGGACCTTGAAAGGGCTCTTCGGGAGGAATGGGCTATCCTCCAGCAAAGGGACATTTCCCGACTGGTGGAAAGTATGCCGAGGCGTCTTCAAGAAATAGTGAAGGCAAGAGGAAGAAACACGAGCTACTAAACGATGATTTAATTAATTTCTTTTAGAATAATAATGGTTCGTTTTTCAATTTTTTTTTTCTCCAATCTTTCTTACCCAATCACATTCTGATTATGAAAGGTAAAAAAGATTATAAAATTCCATAAACACTAAATATTATCTACAAATACCATGTATTATATACAAATACAACTTTACAGAAATATTTTTAAATGAAAACATGGAAAAATCAAGTGGGTGCAATTTTTTGCCTGTCAGTGTATATATATGTATATAGGCGTGTGATAGGTTGTGATTGATACATAGTTTATCTAAGAATTAATTCAGATTTATAAAATATTATAAAATATATATGTTTTAATTACCACTGTTTCAAAACAAAACTTACAAATAAAGTTAGTATTGTTCAAGCAGTCACAGTGTTTACTTCACGAACTTTTACTCTATTTTTAATTGATATATTACTAAGCAACTTAACTGGTACAGAAAAACTTTGGAATTATGTTGGTTGCGGGCTTTGAAGAATGCATTATTTTAGAAAATTATGGTTTTAAGATGGAGCCAGTTATAACAGGCAATTAATAAGTCAAGTTGTTAATATTAATCCAGATTTGGTGCAGTTAGAATGGGTAAGGGTTAGAACAGCTAGTGCCACTTATTTAAAGAATGCAGTATCAGATACAATCCAATGAGCTGACACCATAGGAAGAGGTCACAAAAATATTGAAAAAGGCCTACGGGGGAAGACACAAGAAGAAAGTGCCTGACGGACTGCTTACGGGGGTTAGAAAAGTCTGGACAGTCAGATTACTTTCTTTCGGAAATAAAGTTAAATCAATCTACAGCATCTCCGAAAAGCTCGCGGAAGGAAACTACTAGCATCTGAAA